CTGACTCGACGGCACATAACAACAACAACAACAATGTCTAAGATACACATTCAGAAGCAAGCAATTTCAAACAACACATTTAGGCTACTCATCTTCTGCTTTTAGCATTTGGGGTTTGTAAAGAAACAACGACGAACATCAAAGCGGCATAGGATATTGTGCCTAAGTAATACCCGACTTCTATTCTCACTGTTCTGTTATTACCTTAAAATAATATAAAATAAAAGTCTGATGAATGTTCCAGAAAGCAACACTAGAAATTATACTTAGTGCCTCTGTCATTGAACTAGCCAGTGCCCTAAAGTTCAGTCACACCACCACTGAGTGGACAGTCCTGCCTTCAGAAAGAAAGAAGAAAATAACCTTGAGCACTCAATAAGCTATATTCCCTCTCCAGATCTATCTTTGTTGAAGCTTAAATTTAATGTTTAGGATTTCCAAAATTTGACTGTCAAAGCTAAGTGTTCTGTGGCCCCATTATGATGCCACTCATTTCTAATATTAGCAGCAGAGCAGCTCAGGTTCACCTGGAAAAGAGGAGCTTTTATTTTGAGTTCAACAAGAGCAGCTACTAAAAATGAACATGGTGAGGCATCCCTCTGGTATATATGACACACATAAAATAGGTAACTGTGCAGTGAAACTATTTTGAATCACATGGGAAAGGAATTCAATCTCACTGGAAATGTGACGAGCTTATAAAATTTTTATGCAGACTCACTTGTTCAGATACTGAGGAATTAAGAAACAAAATACAATTATATAAATTTGCTTTGTTGTACCATGTCACACAAGATCATAAAGTGTTTATGAAAATGCCATAGGGTGGGATAAAGAAGGTTCCAGGGCACATGTTATATCCCAGCATGAGATATAATCAGTACAAGTTGACTTTGACTCATGGCAACCCTATGTGTGTGAGAGACAACTGTACTCCATAGGGTTTTCAGAGACTGATTTTTTGGAAGCTTAGTCATTGTTACAAGGCACATCTGGGTGGACTTAAACTTTTAAATTTTCAGTTAGCAGCTGAGCACATTAACTATGTGTACAACCCAAGAACTCCATGAGGAACAAACCTGACTGACTATTATTTGGTGTTACATCTACACAAATTCCTGCATGATATATTTGGACTCATTAGATCAATGTGTCCAGTATTTGGGCTTCTATTAGCCAGCAGAGCTTACAGTAGATCAGAGGAGCTGGATAATTGCCACATTTCCACTTAGTATTGTGCAGACATGGGCAGAGGATGAAGATGCAGATGTGCTATTTGTAATCAATAAAACTGTTTGAAATGCCAAGAATCATCTACTGCCCTGAATTGGAGGTTTCTAGTTCCTCTTACTGTCTTTGTCTGCAAAGTGAGTGGTCACCATCAAGTGTGGAAAGTGCATTAGGCAGTAGACGTCTCATAAATAGACTTACCTGGACAAAGTAAAGCAATGCTCTTACATACCCAGATATCTTTCATGCACAGAAAATGATTCTCACTTTATAAACCAACTAAACTTGAAAACCATTCCCTTTAGTGAAAGAGTTAGTGAAACTATAGAGTTAAAGGAGATTGAAATTCTGAGGCTCAATGTGGGGACATATTCAGCACTACACTAGTATTTGTCATTGAACTTTTCTTATATTGCAAAATCTTCTAAGCCATTTGTTCCAAAAAACCTGGCCTGGGTGTTTAAACAGCAGTGGTAAGAAAATGGGCCACATTTAGTACTTGCTACTGTGCAGTTTGCTTTTTGCTGAGAATTGTTAAGCTCCTTGAGTTTGATCCTACAATCCATAGCCAAGTGATCATTATCAGATTATCTGTCATAAGGAGAATAGAACAGACTCCCCACATTGGGTGCCGAGATGTTACTCACTAAGTACTCAGTGATATAACCCTACCTTACTTGACTTTGTCAGGGAGTCTCTAGACTAAAATGTCATAGAGCTCTTCTGTTCAGTTTCCTGCACCAGAGATTGTTTTCACCCAATTGTTCAGAATCAAAGGGAGATATTAAAATCACATGAAAACTCTCCTAGAGTTTTTTCCCCATGACACTCACAGAGTTATGCAAATACAAACCTGAGCTAGGAGCCCTTTGTATGCGCCTGAAGACATCCATGGCAGCATGCATCCATCGTAATGTAATAATAGGCTTGCTTTTCTGTGTTGCTCACCTGACTGGGAGCTCCTTGAGTAGAGAGAACTGTGCCTTGCCCCTCTCTGTATCACCATGACCTTGTAAGTTACCTGGAACATGGTGACCTCTCAATAATTATTTATTGAGCCATGAATATTGAATGTGTATATGTAGAAAATGAAGTTACTCACTTATGTTTTATTGATTTATTGCTCTGTTTTGTTTCAGTCTTTCTCTCTCTCCTCATGATAGTTTTTGTCTCTAGATTCCTACCGTTTAAAATCAATAGACTTTCAGATTACAAAGAAAATTCTTCTATTTGTACATCCTGTGGTTTTCTGAGATGCTACTGGAAGAATAATTTCTTCTGCAAATTATTTTCATGGGAGGGATCCAACTGTGTTTTCCCCACTTAATATTTCAAATATTCTTCATATGCACCTTTATGCAGTAGTTTCCTCTCAGTTGGACATATTTAACTAATGTGGGAAAATGTAGCACCATGTTTGTGAGGGGTTGAACAAAGTCAGAATACTGCAGAAATAATTTTATGCCTTGCATTTGTTTACTGTGCAACATTTTAGTATACATTATTGTGTTCTGTTCCCACAATACTTATGTTATTTGAATAGCACAGATATCCATCTCCCATTTTAGTAAATAAACAAATTATCCCAGACAAAAGAATTGATTTTACCAAGGTCATCCAAATAGCTGTGGGAATAGGGCATAAACCTGGGTAGAGAAGGAAAAGAAAAATCATTTTAAAAGGACTGTCTGATTTATTGTGGTCATTTTATGTAGATTTGTATAAATATAAACATGTTGTTGTTACGTGCTGTCAAGTCGACCCCGACTCATAGCGACCCCCTCCTTGGGTTTTTGAGGCAGTGTCACTACGGAAGTAGATTGCCCAACCTTCCTTCTGATGAGTGGCTGGTGGGTTTGATATATAAATACAATATAGTTCAGATAGCCTAAGAGGGTAATTTCATATTTGTTCTTTTAATAATCCCAATCCTTCAGAAATAATATGCTGTTTTAGAATTTAGTTTGTCAGTTAATCAGGAAGCCAACAAATATTTATTAAATGCCTGCTGTATGTCACTCCCTGCTGATGAATGATGAATGAATAATGAATAACGTAAAGATCTTGCCCTCAAGGAGCTTACATTCTAGAAGTAGAAAGACAACAAGTACGTAAACAAATAAAAAGATAATTCAGGATTGAGAAGGTGTGTCTTGTGGGGGCACTTTGTTCTTATGCTTAGCCTGGTCGATTTGGAATTGCCTAGTGCCCGGGTAAAGGAGTTCTGGGTTGCTTAGTGGCTAAAGCATTTGTCAATTCCAACCCACCAGCCATGCAATGGGAGAAAGATGAAGCAGTCTGCTTCTGTAAAGATTTATAGCCTTGGATTATTAGTTATGTCTATGCAGGGGGAAGTGTGCCCATGACCATGTATAGGGTTGGCAGACAATGTTTCTTACAAGTGTATTTGTATGTTCTGTAAGAATTCCCAGGTATATTATAGCACTGACAAGGGACAAGGTTGTAGTCACTTCTTGGGCACAGCCAGCTACCCAGAGGGAACGAAATAGTTGCACCTGTGGGCTCGGGACCATAGTCACAGGGGACATCAAGTTCAATTGGCATAACACACTACACAAAACATTGTTTCACATCCTACTTTGGTGAGTAGCAACTGGGATCTTAAAGCTTACAAACAGATATCTAGATGCAATGATGAGTCTCTCCTTATCCAGAGCAAAGAAAAATAGAGAAAACCAAAGATGTATGGAAATAATTAGTCCAAGTGACTGGTACACCATGAGATCCTCAGCCTATATGACTATGAGACCAGAAGAACTAGATGGTGCCTGGCCACCACTATCACCACTCAGAGGGGGATCTACGTAGGAGATCCTGGATAGACTGGGAGAACAATGTGGAACAAAACTCAAAATCATTAAAAAAAAAAAAAAAAAGACCAGGTTTGCTGGTCTGCTAAAGCCTGATGAAACCACTTAGACTAGGGCCCCTAGCTGCCCTTCAGTTCTGGAATTGAACCCACTACTGCGGCTTCCAGCCAAACAACAGACAGACATATGAACTGAACATTTACATTGGGTAGATACACTCCCTTGAGAGATCACTCATGGGAGAATAGAAGGGCTGTGTATGCATATGGAGACACCTTGGGGGGCTGGAGTGCATGGGAGGGAAGGACACAGGGAAGGGGTAATTATGGGGAGGAAATGGGAGGGGAGCTGTTGCACTGTGGCAAATTATAGTCAATGTTATGAGACAAAGTGTATGTAAACTGCTGTATGGAAAGTAAATTTGCTCTGTAAACTTTCACCCAAATCACAATAAAAATTAATTAAATAAATAAAAAGATTTACAGTCTTGGAAACTCTATAGAGCAGTTCTACTCTGTCCTATAGGGTCACTATGGGTCAGTATTGATTCAATAGCAGTGGGTAAACACTTGACTACTAATTGAAAGGTTGATGGTTTGAACCCACCCACAGGCATCTCAGCAGAAAAGTCTAACAATCTGCTTCCAAAAGGTCACAGATCTTTGAAAACCCTGTGGAGCACGGTATTATTCTGCACACATGGGGTCACCATGAGTTGGAATCAACTCAATGACAATGGGTTTTATTTTTGTTTTTTTGTCTGGGTGGTAATGAAAGAAATATTCTTCCCAAGGTGACAAACTTACATCTACAGCTCTGCCTCTACCTCTACTCTTATCAAAACTAACATCATCAGAGTAAGATTTAATATCCATAGTTAAATGTTTAGGGTCTTACCTGAGGAAATGATGACCATGTATTACTTTATTTTTATTCTAGGAATCTTGGAAAGTCAGGACTCAGAGTTTCTTGCTTGGGTCTTGGTAAGTACTGGGGTGTTATGTGAGGGATGGATTGGGAGGTGGGAAATTTAGAGAATGCCAAGGAGTGATTTCAGTGCTGGCCAAGACTTGTTCTCAGTTGAGAAGACTTCCAGTTATGGTTTTGCTCCATTTCTCCTTCTAAGAATCTCCCTGGCTACCACAGCCCTTTACCTCTCAAGGCTCAAGTTGCTATTGTGCCCGTGTGCCTTATGGGGGCCCATCAAACACAAAGAAGTGAAAAATTAAAGCACATCTCAGAGGAGAGATCCATGTGTTCCTCCCCATGTAGCAAATGTGAAGGACCTCTTGATATACATTTGTACATTCACCTCACCCCTACCTTCACCTTCAATTTTTATTTTCCCTATATCTAATTTCCTCATTTACTTTTCTACATTGTTATACATTTTATATCCTTCTATCCTCATTGTGATTCTGACTCATAGCAACTCTATAGGACAGAGTAGAACCGCAAGTTTCCAAACTGTTATCTTTATGGAAGCAGACTGCCACATCTTTCTCCCATGGAGTGACTGGTACTTTTGAATCATCAATTTTTTGGCTAGCAGCCAAGCACTTAACCACTGTGCCACCAGGACCTTTTCATGTTCTATTAAAAAAAAAATTGTCATTGAGTAAATTCTGACTCATAGTGACCCACTTTGGGTTTCTGAGGGGGTAAATCTTTACAGAAGTAGATTGTCCAGTCTTCCTTCTGTGGAGTGGCTGGTGGGTTTGAACCTCCAACTTTCTGATTAGCAGTCAAATGCCTTAGGCACTACACCACCTGAGCTCCTTATGTTCTTTTCTACCAAAAACCAAAACCAAACTCACTGCTGTCGAGTTGGATCAGACTCATGGCAACTCTTCCGTTCTGTTACCTAGTGCCACTCTGACAAGAACATACCACAAATGGGATGGCATTAACAAACAGGAGTTTATTCTTACAATTTGGAGGCTTTAAGTCCAAGTTCAAAGTGCCAGGCTCTAGGGGCTGAGTGGAAGCCCCTCAACCTTGGGGTCCAGGTCTGCCTCCTGCTCCCAGCCCACTGGAGCTAGAGGTGTTTCTTCACTCAGACAGCTGCTGGCTGCTGAGTCTGAGAAGCCCCAAGGTTGACAAGTAAAAAGGCACAGTCCCGAAGTTACCAAACCACATGGCAAGCCATTAACTTAAGTTCATTGTAAGTCCTAAGGTTGGCAAAGCATAGGAGACTGCTGAACAACGACATGGCTACATACAGAGTCCAAGCATGCCATAGGCTAGAGACTATCCCTAAGGCTTCTGCTCATAATCAGGAAGCAGACCACATCCCTAAGGCAGCTACGCAGCTGCTCATAGTATATTCCACCATGGAAATGATTACCAGTCTCATCATGGGGAATACTACATCCAGCTGCCGAGCCATTCAACCAGGCCCAGCCAAGTTGACACACAAACTGAACTACCACACCCTCCTTGGGTTCCCAAGGCAGTATCACTACAGAAGTAGATTGCCCAACCTTCCTTCTGAGGAGTGCCTGGTGGGTTTGAACCACCAGACTTCTGGTTAACAGTCAAATGCCTTAGGCACTGTGCTACCAGAGCTCCCATGTTATTCTATGTTGTTGTTGTTATGTGCAGTCAAGTTGGACCTGACTCATAGCGACCCCTTCCTGGGTTTCCAAGGCAGTATCACTATGGAAGTAGATTGCCCAATCTTCCTTCTGAGGAGTGGCTGGTGGGTTTGAACTGCCAGCCTTCCAGTTAACAGTCCAGTGCTTCAAGCACTACGCTACCAGAGGTCCTATGTTATTCTATAGTCTACCTTAAATACTTTGGGGACAAGGTATCATATGTATATAAATTATTACTCCCACAGAAAATGTAAATATCCAAAGATGATGAAGTAGAGATGGCAACTCTGATAGTTTAGGAGAAATCTGAAATGATGAAATTTGAGAGGGAGATCTGAGGAGGTGTGAAGCGTCTAGGTATCTCCGAGGCATGGTAACAGCAGCCTTTGGTGTTAGTGCCATTTAATGCCATCATGACTATTTCTGTAACCTGAGTCTGGAGTAGGATGGTTTTGAGTAAGTACTGGTCAGATTAAGGCTATGTTTTGAAGGGAGAACCTGCAGGATTTTCTGATGGATTGTGTGGAATGTGTGAGAAAAAAAGAGGGCATTATGATGATTCCAAGGTTTTTTAAGTGTTTTTGTTGTGGTGGTGGTGGTTGTTATTGTTGTTGTTTTGCCTGGCAGTAATAAGCAAAACATGGAAAAATGAGGAGGAGAGATTTGAGGAGGGAAAAGATTAGGAATTTCATTTTGGATATAGTAAGCTTGGAATGCTTATTCCAAGAAGAGATATCAAACAGTCAGACAGAGGAGTCTCAAATTGGTGTAAATGGTTAACATACTTGGCTGCTAGCTAAAAGCCTGGAGGTTTGGGTCTATTCAGAGGTGAATCAGAAGAAAGCCCTAACAATGTACAGGCAGCCCCCAGGTTACTAATGTCCAACTTATATACAATCCATGCAAAACCCACTGCCATCAAACTTACTTCGACCATTGGGTTTCCAAGGTGGTAAATCTTTAAGGAAGTAGATTGCCTCATCTTCCTTCCACAGAGCAGCTGGTAGGTTAGCAGTCAAATCCATAGGCTCTGCACCACCAGAGTTCCTTATGTATAACCCACGTGATCATTGTTGTTAGGTACAGTTGGGTTGGCGCCAACTCATAGTGATCCTATGTGCAACAAAAGCATTGCCCAGTCCTGTGCCATCTTCAGAGTCTTTGTTATATGTGAGCCCATCATTGCAGCCACTGTGTCAATCCATCTCATTGAAGGTCTTCCCCATTTTTGCTAATCCTCGACTTTATCAAGATGATATCTTTCTCCAGGGAGTGGGCCCTTCTGACAAAATGACCAAATAGGTGAGATGAAGTCTGGCAATTCTCTCTTCCAAGGAGCATTCTGACTGCACTTCTTCCAGGACAGATGTGTTTGTTCTTTTGGCAGTTCATGGTACTTTCAGCATTCTTTGCCAGCACCACAACTCAAAAGCATAAACTCTTCTTTGGTCTTCTTTATTCATTGTCCAGCTTCCACATGCATATGAGGCTATTGAAAATACCATGGATTGGGTTAGGCACACTTCAGTCTTAAAAATGACATTGTTGCTCTTCAACACTTTAAAGAGACCTTTTGCAACAGATTTGCCCAGTGTAATACAATGTCTGAGTTCTTGACTGTTGCTTCCATGGTTGTTGATTGTGGATCCAAGTAAGATTAAATCTTTGACAGCTTCAATCTTTTTTCCATTTATCATGATGCTGCTTATTAGTCAAGTTGTGAGGATTTTAATTTTCTTTTTGTTGAGGTATGATCCACACTGAAGACTGTAGTCTTTAATCTTCATCAGTAAGTGCTTTGAGTCATCTTCACTTTCAACAAACAAAGTTGTGTCATCTGCATATCTCAGGTTGTTAATGAATCTTCCTCTAATCCTGGTGCTGTGTTCTTCTTCATACAGTCCAGCTTCTCGGATTATTTGCTCAGCATACAGATTGAGTAAGTATGGTCAAAGGATACAACCTTGACCCTCACCCTTCCTGATTTTAAGCCATGCAGTATCCCCTTGTTCTGTTTGAACAACAGTGTCTTGGCCTATGTACATGTTCCTCATGAGCACAATCATATGTTCTGGAATTCCCATTCTTTCCAATGTTATCCATAATTTATTATGATCCACATAGTTGAATGCTTTTGCATGGCCAACAAAACAAAAGTAAACATCTTTCTGATATTCTTTGCTTTCAGCCAAGATTCATCTGACATTAGCAATGATATCCCTTGTTCCATCACCTCTTTTGAATCCAGTTTGCATTTATACAACTCATAGTCATGAATAAATCTTGTAAACCCTACTATATTAAAATTTTGAAGTACATACAGTGGGTACTACTTTACAACAAGATTGAAACATTATTATTATTACTATACTATACTGTATAATGGAAGAAATGGTGACATAAAAAAACAGAACAGAAGATTTCAAAGGGCAGCTCAAAAAGACAAAGTAAAGTATTGTAATGAAATGTGCAAAAACCTGGAGTTAAAATGCCAAAAGTGAAGAGCACGCTCAGCATTTCTCAAGACAAAAGAACTCAAGAAAAAATTCAAGCCTCAAGTTGAAATATTGATGGATTCTGTGGACAAAATATTGAACAATGAGGGAAACATTGAAATAAGATGGAAGGCATACACAGAGTCACTGTATCAAAAATAATTTGTCCGTGTTCAACCACCTCAGGAGGTAGCATATGATCAAGAACCACTGTATTGAACAAAAATCTCCAATCCACACTGAAGTCACTGGTGAAAAACACAGCTCCAGGAATTGTCGGAATACCAACTGATATATTTCAACAAATGGATGCAATGCTGGAAGCACTCACATGTCTATGCCAAGAAATTTGGAAGACAGCTATTTGGCCAACCAACTGGAAGAGATCCATATCTGTGCCATTTCAAAGAAAGGTAATCCTACAGAATGCAGATGTTATCAAACAATATCTTTAATATAACATGCAAATAATTTTTGCTGATGATAAATTCAAAAACTGTTACAGCACTCCTTTGACAGGGAACTTCCAGAAATTCAAGCTGGATTCAGAAGGGAATGTCAAGATGACTCCAAGGTCATCAATATCTCCCAGATATCATTGCTGACATAAGGTGGATCTTGGCTGAAAGCAAAGAATACCAGAAAGATGTTTACCTGTGTTTTATTGACTATGCAGAGAAATCGAACTGTATGCAAAATAACAAATTATGAAAAACATTACAAAGAATGGAAATTCCAGAAGATTCAATTGTGCACATAAGAAACCTGCAAATAAACCAAGAGGCACAATAAAGGGGATACTGCATGGTTTTAAATCAAGAAAGGTGTGTGTCAAGGTTGTATCCTTTCCCCATACTTTTTCTATATGTATGCTGAGCAAATAATCCAAGA